AAATCTAGATTACGACTTTGATTATCGACTTGGACTTTAATTTTGATTTCGCCTTTAACCTCAACTTGGACTTTGATCTCGTTATTTCGAAATTACGTCTATGAACTCGGAATTTCGACTTCAATCTCGAGATTTCACTTTGAAAGGCGAAATTTCAAAATTAAAGGCGAAATTTCGAGTTTGAAGTCGTAATTTCGGAATTACGAGTTTGAACTAGAAATTTCGACTTCGATTTTGAATATATAGATAATGAATATTTTTTCAACTCATTTATGTTTATTCATTTTTTTCAAAACATTTGGTAGCTTGATACCTTTATGAAAAATCGAATTTTGCCCAACATTCATTTTCATTAAATTTCAGATCCATTGATTTTTAAAGCCAGCTATTTCAATAATCGAATACCATAGACATACCCATCAAACTCAAATGAAAATGAAAAAACTTTACCAACACGTGAATACGGAACATATTCTTTAGAATTTATATATTTCAATAGCACATTTAGACTCGGCCAAGTACCTAAGCATGACCATCTACACAATAATAATGTAGTCTAAATGTATCAGAGGAGAACGAACTTCAGTAGAATAGGTTGAAATTCTGAATGGGGAAGAGCTTCAACATCCTCTATGTATTGGAAAAATATATATTAATGGAAACTCTTCACCAGAACATGAAATCTTCAATACAAGTAGATTGAAATCTAGACCACGAGGAGAGCATTTCAATGAAAAATCTCTCCAAGAGCAAATCCCCCTGGACTTAATTTTTTTAAGTAGCACCAACACAAATCATGACATTATTGGCATGTTCTCCACCACTTTATTCAAGTCATTGTGCACGAAATTAAAATAAATTTGGGCAGTACAAACATTGTTCTTTTTTCATAACCAAAAAATCCATTCTTAATGAAAATTATTCTGAATAATATTCGTCCTTTTGTTTGACAAGAATTTTCTTCCACTGATAATAAACTTACTTTCATTTCTATGGCACATAACATAATGAAATCACTTATCAACAAGCTCGTTGAAAGTATGATTTTGCATGTTTTCATGAGGTGAGTGTTTCATACAATCAGATTTGTGCACTAACGGTTGAGCATGTCATATGAGTGACTGGCGTCAACTAGATTATTATCACACAATGCAAATATGGAATAATCAATTGAAGGTAATATCAACAAATCATTAATAATCGTGCAAATTTCTTTACTTTTTCCAGATGATAATCTCGCATCATGAAAATACTTTCTTTCAGTAAGTACAGTACATTTCTTTGATGTTCCCCGCCCCCTATTATTTTTTGAACGGGTCAACTCAAAAAATTATAATTTGGGATAATCAAATTAATGCATGAATACTTCATTTTGAAGTGAAATTGACAGATGAAACTTTCAAGATGGCGACTGGGCGCCATCTGGGGAAAAAATTGAATGGGAAAGGGGGTCTTGTGATACATCATTTTGAAGTTCCTGACGAGTACTTCACAACCCTAGAATATGAAGGTAATATCTTCACCTACTACAAAATGGGGGAACATTTAATAATTTCCTAAAAACAAACACATTAATATCGATATTTCTAGAAATATAAGGTTTGTTAAGTTATTTTTTGTTTATAAAAACATCAAAAAATGTCAGTACGTCAAAGAACATCATTGTTCATTTAGAATATTCTCATTTAGTTTTCGGTTTCACTGGTAGAAAGGTACCACATCAACAATCTCTAAAGTGGTCAATTCTCGTCCACAGGAAGAAAAAATTTAAGCGATTTTTATATACAGTGCTGTGCGTAACTTTCACGAGACCGAAAGGATTTTCAATGAACGTTTTCCGAATCGTCCTTTCTGTAGAAAATATTGAGGGAATTTGTATCCGAATTCACAACTACCGGTAGTTAACATAAAAAAAGGCCCCAGGTCATCCGACATTCCGGAAGAACAGCAAATGCAAATAATTGGTGAGATGGTAGCAAATCCTGAACAGTCTACTTATTCCGTCGCGAATGTTTGTGAGGTGTCTCCTTCTACTGTGTGGAGACTTTTGAAGAGGTATCATCCATACAGAATTGAAATGGTACACCAATTAACTGAAGTTGAACATGATCGAAGAACAGAATTCTGCGAAATCATGACGGAAACCATTGCAAGGCATCCTACCTATCTCCACAATATTTGTTTTAGTGACGAATGTACATTTTTCTTAAATGGGAATGTTCACAGACAAAATTGCCGTTTTTGAAGTAACACCAACCCTCAATATTCAGAAAAAATTAACGTTTGGGCAGGAATATTGGAAACCATATTGTAGAACCTCTATTTATTGATCAGAATTTAACAAGGAAACTGTATTTGAATATGCTGGAAACTGTTGTTGATCCTCTCATCACTGAAATCGTCGAAGCGAATCCTAATGAATTCGATAAGGATATTGTATTCCACAAGACGGAGCACCACCACATTACTCCAGACAAGTGAAAAACTATTTGGATACTACTTTTCCCGGTAGTTGGATTGGCCGTCGAGGTCCTACAGAATGGCCAGCCGGCTTGCCAGATTTGACACCTTTGGACTTTTTTTATGGGGCTATTTGAGGCAAAAGGTGTACTAAACTGAACCTGCTCCAATATTGGATATACGGCAGAGAACAATAAATATTGAGATATTGACGTTACTGTTTTCGAAAATGTTCGGCTTGTATGGAGACTTTTGAAGAGGTATCATCCATACAGAATTAAAATGGTACACCAATTAACTGAAGATTAACATAATCGAAGAACAGAATTCTGCGAAATCATGACAGAAACCATTGCAAGGCATCCTACCTATCTCCACAATATTTGTTTTAGTGACGAATGTACATTTTTTTCAAATGGCAATGTTCACAGACAAAATTGCCGTTATTGAAGTGACACCAACCCTCACGTTTTCCAGGAAACACATACCCAATATTCAGAAAAATTAACGTTTGGGCAGGAATATTGGGAAACCATATTGTAGGACCTCTATTTATTGATCAGAAATTAACTGGGAAACTGTATTTGAATATGCTGGAAACTGATGTTGATCCTCTCATCACTGAAATCGTCGAAGCGAATCCTAATGAATTCGATATGAATATTGTATTCCACAAGATGGAGCACCACCACATTCCAGACAAGTAAAAAACTATTTGGATACTACTTTTCCCGGTAGTTGGATTGGCTGTCGAGGTCCTACAGAATGGCCAGCCGGCCTGCCAGATTTGACACCTTTGGAATTTTTTTATGGGGCTATTTGAAGCAAAAGGTGTACGAAACTGAACCTGCTTCAATATTGAATATACGGCAGAGAATAATAAATATTGAGATATTGACGTTACTGTTTTCGAAAATGTTCGGCGTGAAATATCAGCTAGGCTGTTCATATGTCCAGAAGTTCAAGGCAACCATTTCGAGCATCTTCTGAACTGACATCAAGCTTATTACCTCATATTATGTAGTTAAATGTCAATGTATTCAGGCAATTATTAAAAGTTCCGCCATTTTGTAGTAGATGAAGGTATAGACATTATATTCTAGGGTTGTGAAGCATTTGTCGGGAACTTCAAAAAGATGTGTCATAAGACCCCCCTTTCCATTTAATTTTTTTCCCTGATGGCGCCCAGTCGCCATCTTGAAAGTTTCATCTGTCAATTTCACTTCAAAACAAAAATAAAAGGGGGAGACATTAAAGAAAAGCACTGCATGCAAAATACTATACAATGCACAATGTACATTTTAGTATATCTGTCAAATTCTTATAAAAAATGATACAATTGTCAATTGTCATGCATTGATTTCATTATCCCAAATTTCAATTTTTTGAGTTCAAAAAATGAAGGGGGGGGGACAATAAAGAAATGCACTGTATATTTATTAAGTGTGATGCTGTTTTTCGTAATGTTCTTGTATTGGATTGCATATATTTTTTAATGTTGTTAAGTAAGGTAATGTTATCTCGAAACAAGTGCTCACTTATCGAGTAGGCATCATTTATGCAAAAAAAATGTATTTGCTGTATACATTCTCTCTCTCTTTTCATATTTTTTACCGAAGTGTGCGCTGGTCAGGCCCTATCCCCCGAAGCCCCGATACATTCGGGAGGACAGGCCAGCATTATCAACCAACGACCACTTCCCACACCGTGGGGTTAGTGATCATTGGGTCCGATAATCATGTGCCCTGAGCAAGCGCAGTGAGCCAAGAATGATAGCCTTATTATTATTATATGTCAAGGTTGTGCTCACTGTTTCCTTCGATTACCGTGAGGAAGTACATCAGGAGTTCTTGCCACATGGTCGTACGGTCGAAAAGTAGTATCATCTTGAAATTATGCGCCGCTTGCGAGAAGCAATGCGACAAAAACATCCGGTACTGTGGAGAAAAAATCCATGGCTTTCGCATCAAGACAATGCACCTGCTCACTTGTCATTGCTTGCTAATAATTAACATGCCTCAGCCACCGCATTCAACAGATTTGCCCCCCTGCGACTTTTTTTGTTTCCAAGATTGAAGAGACCCATGAAAGGGCGGTGTTTTGCGGCGATTGAGGAGATGAATACCGAATCGCTGGGAGAGTTCAAGGACATACCAAAAAGGGCATATCAGATTGAAAAAAACGCTGTATTATATCTGAGGAGGAATAATTTCAAGGAGACAAAATAGAAATTGATGAATACAGAAATATTTGTTGAGAAAAATGAAAATTCACATTCGGATAGCATATCTACATGATGCGATATTGAAATGTACGACTATTTATCTAGAGTACCTAATTATGCAACAAAATGTTTGAAAACAAATAAACCTATGCAAACAATAATTATGATAAGTTCAGATATGCTGACAGAACTATAATATAATCAATTTCGAAATTATCCAGCTGTTATGTGACAGCTTCTCTTAAACTAATTAGTAATTAGTTGCCGAAACTGAAATGACTATATATAGCAATTCTCTCGCACTCCATCAACTTACCACAACGCCCTCCTGTCTCCCTCGAATCCCGGGGGAATCAAACTTTGATTGATTTCCACAACTGGCATCTTGAAGACATCGTTGATGTTGAATTTGAATTCCATTTCAATCAAAACACCTCGCACAGGTTCCTAATGACGAATTAAGCCAAGGTTAGACCACTCGAACTGTCACGAGATCGTTCATCAGCGAATGTTCTCCTTTTTGGAAATTTGGATCGGACACTTCGGCTATTCACTGTTTGACATTTAAAATGATATTATTTTGCGTTATGCCAAGACTGTGTTTTGTTCAACAGCGTGACACGAACCCGTTAGATTTGTAGCGACTGTGGTGTAGGTGATTCACGAAGGATGAAGTTTTCTGGGCTGGTGAGTGCGTTTGCGGACAGTGGCGTCGCGCAAGGGGCTGACGCAGACGTCTTGGACGCCATGTGGGTCTGATTCGGTGGGAGGGGAATGTCTCGTACGGAACTCGGTTCAATACAGGTTATACGTTCAGCCATTTCAAAGCCTTCGACAAATGTCTAGCCAAAGATGTTGCCAACAATGAGAAAATAGAATATTTATATTGCGGTCTCCGATTTCTTTCGAAATTACGAGTTAAATGTCGAAATTTCGACTTTAATCTCGAAACTTCGACTTTAATCTCGAAACTTCGACTTTTATCTTGAAATTTGGATTTCAAACTCGAAGTTTCGAGATTGAAGTCGGAATTTCCAAGAAACAAATAATAAAAATATGTGGCCCGTCTGCGCTCCCTCGGATATCGAACCTCAAAGGTATAGTCGAAGTGAACGGTATTGTGCACACTCACAGTTGTCGGCACGAGAGGGATGTGAAATTTGGTGTTCCACAGGGTTCCGTATTGGGCCCAGTGTTGTTCATCATATATATAAATGACCTGAGTCCATTCTTATCTCCATATGCAAGTGTTCTATTTGCTGATGACACAACACTTATATATTCACATAAAGATTACAGCTCCCTGATCTCTTCAGCTGCAGATGCCAAGGGAAAAGCCGAAAGGTTGTTCCCGCAAACAGGCTGAAACTAAACAATGATAAATCACAGAACTTAATAGTTACCATTAATACATCTCTACTAGTGGAAAATGATGTAAAATTGCTAGGATTTATTTTGGATGAAAGACTCAGTTGGTCAAATCATATTAAGCAGTTGAACTTTTTTTTTATTTGTTTCAGGGATTTCAAATCATTTTATATAGTAGACAATGGAAGTCCGAACTAGTGAAATTCAATTTGAAATATGCTCACTGAGACATTATCTTTAAATTATTTACTCTTACATGTATATTCTGTTTATATTCTATTATGGTATATGTCTAGTTTTATATCTCCTTAATGTTTTTATCCAATGAACAAACTTTTGTGACTTGCTACAAATATGCAACTGTATATGAAGTGGTTAAATAAAGTACTTACTTACTCTCAAAGGCCAAAAAAAAAACCAATACATAGAAATGAACCGGCAGCGAACTAGTCCACGTGGACTGAAGAATTGGCGGTTCGTATTGGATAATTCTTACTAACCGATATTTATGATTGGCTGAAGAGTCATAAAATTAAAATTTGAAGTCATGTTACGGTGACGAATAGAAATCGGAAATGCGGTGGTGGTTATTGCTGTCGTGTTCAGTTCAGGAACTGAGTGTGATAACAACGCAGACTTTTTCCAGTGTAGTGATTCCAATACCGATGGTAAACGATGCTAAAAAGAGATACCAGTAAATAAGATTCGGGTAAATTTGAATATTGAAATACAGAGAGTATGTTTCAGTGTATATAAGAATCTACATCTCAAGTTTGGTTTCGAGGGAAACAAACTCACAAGCAACGTCAGATTTGATCGATATTCCTTTCTCAACTGTACTGTCAAAAATTAACCTTATGAACGCAAGATGCGATGTAACACAGGATGACTAAAACCTTCAGATGTGCATCTATTAGAATCATTGAAAAAAGCAATATGCGACTGTTTTCAGAATTGGATAAAGAAACTAGGATTTATATTTGAAATAATGAACAAAACGTCAAGTAGTTATGGAAAGCAGAAGAATAGTGGAATTGCGTAACAAATACGTAGAGCAAATAACTAAATAAAGACAAGAACAATGGCAAATTTTCTATTTGGACGAAACTTGGTATGACACTCACGACACAGTTACGAAAGGGTGGACTTATGATTCGAGAATGTGTATGCAAACAAAGAATCGCGACTAATCATCGTGCTTTGCGGAGAAAGTAAAGGATGGGTTTCGAATTCTTTGAAACTATGTGGAAAAAACTGAAATGTTGAATATCATAAGAACATCGAAGCTAATATTTTCGAGGAATGGTTTGAAAACAAAAATTTGGATACGAATACTATACTAGTTCTAAACAATGCTTCCTATCATTCGCGACAGCTCATCAAAGTACCGAACAAAAATTCGAGATGTCCGTTTACGGACCGCGAAAGGTTGACCCGCGGACCGCTCCAAATATTGTATTATATACCAAGTACATATAAAAATCCGTAGATGAGGTATACCATACCTTTATCAATTAAAATAACACAAAATCTAATTAGTACGTATTCTATTTCAAGTTGCCTAGTTAACCTGATTTACCTACTACTGATAAGTTTCCTATCTAGCCTGTGTGTCTGCGAATCATACTGATGCGATTTAAATATCTTCAAATCTCTGTTATGCATACGAAACATCCATACATTGAACGTTGTACTATTTTTTCGGAAATATGTGCGGGATCATTCCAGAGCGCACCGAGTACTTATTACTGCAGCGTGCTTGCTCCTGTTTTGTTTTGTTGAAACAAGCACGAGCGCGTATCGAAATCGATAGTGCGGGAGTCGTAAAGCACTGAAAGCAGACTGCCAGTCATCAGTCGCACCACAAACAATGGAGTAACCGTTTTATGATCTCTATCGTTTTCGTTCGTTTGATAAAAAATCTTTCTGTACCTACGTTGATATGGGTGGCAGAATTTATTGAACAATATTGTTTTACGTTGCCTGATAGGCATCAAGCGGATCCAGTGTGCCTTATATGCAATAAAACTGTCGCTATTGTTGAAAGTGGAAATTTGAAGCGACACTACGAAACAACTCATCAGCAATTCCACAAAAACTTTCCTCTTGGCAGACAGGCTCGTAAAGAAAAAATGTCAGACATATCTCAGTTCTTACGAAAACAGTACAAAATTACTAGTTCGTTGCATGAGCGACCAAGAACAATCCACAGAAGCAGCGTTACGTGTGTGTTGGACGCTTAATAAACACCAGAAACCATTTTCAGATTCTGAGATAGTGAAGGAATGTATGTTGGCAGTAGTTACGTCACTTTTTGAAGAAAAAAAAATTGTCTCTGCAATTCAAAGTATTCCATTGTCAGCGAGAAGTAATACGGACATTAAAAACAGTCTTCTTGAACTTCTGCAAAAGGCTAACAATAGTTCCGTTGAAAGGTAACACTCGAGGAGAAGACTTATTCAAGGTCATTGATGATTTTATTACGAAATATAATAACAGTTATGATAAAATGGTTTCGCTGTCAACTGACGGGACCCCAGCAACGATTGGCAAAGAAAAAGGTGTAGTAAAGAGAATCAGAGATCAAAATTCAGGTCTAATATCGTATCAGTGCATAATTCACCAGGCAGCCCTTTGTGAAAAACTTAGTGCTACACTCAAAGAAGAAATGGAGGTAAATTTTCGTTATGTGGACACCCGGCGATTTTGAAAAAATTACGGCCTTTCAAAGTTCAGAAAAGGGCAACTTTTCAGCCTTTTTTTTCATTAAATAAACTATTTAAAAACACATGCATTTATTCACTAGGTCACCTTTACACCTTATTCGTCCTTCTTTAACACTTTTCACTTCAAT